AAATCCCGCGCTGCAGAAAAACAGAATCGGGTATAAAGCTATAGCTTCAACATGTAGATGTGTGTAGATGTGTGTGTGTGTGTGTGTGTGTTGCATAGCGGGGACTTTCTCATCCTTAGAAAGCATACACACATACACACAGGGGCAATATTTTTTGCGTCCAACAATGGCTGGCGGTGGGCGGTGTTCGAAATATGTGAAATCATGAATAAACTGCCATGTGCACAACATTCAACATTTTGCATGGCTGCAGCAGCAGCAGCAGCATTTCTCCTTGGCTGCGCGTTTTTGCGCTCTGTTTTTTATTTTTACCAGCTCTTTGTTGCCCCGTTTCTGTAAGCAAAAGGCAAGGCAAAACGCATTGCTCCATTGTATGCAACAAATTCAGCGTAGAACTTGACTTTGCCGGCACTTTCCACTTTCCACTTTACACTTTCCACAGCCCAGAATGTGGGCGTGCCTCTCGCTCGACTGAGTGCCTAGCGAGATCGTGAATATTAATCGATGGCCAACATTTCGTTTTCACACTCACGCACGAACAACTGCCGCTGGCCCAGAAAGCGAGCTACACATTAATAGTGACTACTGCCACTGCCATCGAACAATGGACTTTTTTCGCTTATTTACGCCCCCGACTGTCGACGACACATGCTGCCAATTCAGGCGAACAAACCGCTCTTTGACAACACCACTTCACTTGCAGTTTGACGGTAAATCATCACCGTTTTGCTGCAAAAGCACTGTACAACTATTTTGCCACTGGCACACCGCAGATTTGTCACCCTCCTAAAATCATATTCGAACTTAATTTGCTCAGATTTCAATATTTACAAAGCCAGGCATATCTTGATAATAATATACTTTTATTTTTTGCTAAATCAATCCCTGCGCAATCCTGTCGACATTTGCATTTATTAGTTTAGTATTATTTGAATAACATATATTTTTGTTTCTCTTGGCTTTTATATTTTTTACAGTCTTTGACTACCTTTCATCGAGTGCGGATGGTTATTTTCCTTTCTCACCGTTAGTTGGTACTTTCGGTACTAAAGCTTCTTCAACAGCTTTTCTCTTCCGAGAACGAACGCATACCCAACAGAAGTTGAAATATACCCTCAAGCGCTTTGCAGCGCTTTAAAAATAAACGTATTTACTCATGCTTTTATTCAATATTAATTGTTAAGAAAATTTAAATTTTATTCATATATAGAATATACAATTTGCATGATCTAATTAAAATTAATTCTAACGTATTATATTTTTATTCACACAATTCAAAGTTACAAACGAATCGTGGGAGGTGTAACAGAAATCTCTAATAAAGCTTCCAGTTCAGTTCGCAAGAGCATTCCCAGCTAACCTTCCGTTCTTGCTTCTGCAGTCTTTGCCATTTTCCGGTCTGACTTTTCCTTTTTTCCTGCGCTTTTTATAGTCTTTCTAGCTGCCGTTTCGGTCTCCGTTTTGGGCCACCTCCCGCCCTTTTTAACTGCCTGCAGCTCCAGCTGAGCTTTGGTGATGAAGGGTGCAGCTTAAAAATGAATCATTTGACTTTTTCTTATTAAATAATTTATAAGAATTAGTTGAGATTTGCATTTTTTACGCTGGCTGCCCGTCCGGACTCGGTATCTCTCGCCCCCCAACCTATCGCTCGCAGTGGTTGACTGTGCAAATTTCTATTTAATTCGAAATTTATTGCAAGCAATTTTCCTTTTTGCTCGTACTTTTTTCTTTTCAGTTGGCCTTAAAGTGCACCGACTGCTAACTTGACTGCCTGGCGGGCAATTGAATTGCAGTTTTGTATCTTAAGTTGGCGACCGCAGCCGAAAGTTAGCGAAAAATTGCAGCTGCCCGAGATGTTGCGGGTGTTTGCAGTTCAGGGTTAGCTGGCTCTTGGCCCGCTTTTCCGTTTTGCTTCATTAGCCATGCAGAGCGGAAATAACAATAATAACAGTAGGAGTATGAGCCAGAGCAAGATCAAGAGCAAGAGGAAGAGCCAAAAACAAAATGCTTCTTAAATTGTAGCCGAAATTGTTTTTTGCAGTCGCCGCGGGGCAGGGAAAACGGCAGGGAAACGAGAAATGCACGTTAATTTTCGCTTCCATTTGCATTTGCATTTCGGCTGACGAACTGTGCCCTTATGGGCGCTTGGCCAGTTATTTTCGGAGGGGGCGTGGCCAGCTGTTTTTCGGGGTGAGAGGGGGGGGATGGCATCATTTATATTTGATGTGCCCGCTATTGTTGCAACTTAGGGCGGCTTAAGTTGCCATTAATGCCAGAGTGTGCTGTGTGCAGTTTGGATTCTGAGAGCTTGATTCACCCTTTAGCCACTTCACCCCGGATGCTTTTAGGTTGTTATGTGAGTTTTCCGGTGAGTTGAAGCGCAAGTTCTTAAATTATTGTAATTCCATCAACAATGTTGCACTTTAAGCCTTCAAGTAATTAATTAACTTCGCTTGCTTAAGAAATTAAATACAAATAGCTTTGGTAATTGTTTGCCCAACTGGATTACACATCTCATTTTGCCCTTAATGATGGTCAAGATTTCTCTTTAACTCTGCACGTCGAACCAATCACATTTCAACCAAGCCATTTTCGCCCTGACCTCGATTGTTTGCCCAAATGTGCATACTAAAGGCGATGGTTGGCCTGTCAATTGGTCTCAAGTGTATTTGCTGTCTGAGCATAATTAATGTCTATGTGAATATTCCATATTTTAATGATTGAAAAATATTTGAGCTCACAACGAGTAGCATATAAATTAAGCTATTGAGTTGCTGCCTGTGAGTTTATTATTCGGTCAAATTCTAATCGAGCTCTTAGCAAAGCAATTTTAGTTAAATGCATTTTGTTTCATTCTGCTGTTATTGCTTTTGGACGGAGGGGAATACTTTGCAATGAAATATACGAAGCAAGGTGAATCGATTGCGAAATATTTGATAAATCTTTAGGACACACAGTGGCCCTCCGCTTATCCTGCTTACCCCCACTTAGAGATGCAGATATCCTGGACAGGCACTTGGCCCAACAAAAGCAACACAACCAGGCCAGGACTTTGGGAAGCTCGCAAGAATCCATGGCCCTTGGCTCTGTGAGCTGTCCATATTGTTGCTGCTTATGGTTTGCTTTCTATTCATTTCATTTCAATATGCATTTTATTTGCTGAAAATGTTTAATCGATTTTATGCAAATCATTTCCCATTTCTTTGCCGTGCTGTATTGTGTTGTGTTCTGTTCTGCTGTGTTGTGTTGTGAGCTAATGCAAACACTCAAAAACCATTACAAAATAATAATAATAAAAATCTTGGCCTGCTTCTGGCCGCAAATAAATTATTTCTGATGGAAGGTCGACAAAAAGAGGGAGAGAGAGAGAACGGTAGAGGAGGGGCATGCAAATGTATGCAAACAAAGAAAACTTCCTAATGGAATTTTCCACATGTCGGACATATGCATAAAACCTTCTAAACAAACCCGCTCGGTCCACTGTCCTCCAGTGCTGTGGGCACTTTGCTGTGACCATTTTGTTTGAAAGCACTTCACACACGCACGTCAAAAACTGTGTCCAAAAAATACCAGGCAACTAACAAAAAAAAAAAGAATCGAAACGAAAAGAAAATATAGGGAACGTTTTGGATGTCCAAAAAGATGGCGTCAAGCTGTGCAATTTTGCCAGCGATTCGATTTGGTTTCGGCAATCCCTTTTGCCCGTATCGTTTTGGCTGGCCAAAGGCGGGGTCAAGTGAGAGGTCCTTCCCAGTGACCCACACTCGCACACTCGAACACCATGACCGCCTGACCCCCTGAATCCCAGATATGTGTAAGTAATTTTCGTCGTTGTTGCTGCTCTGCAACTGGCGTTGTTGTGGGATATGCTGCATTGCGGTTTTGGTGCAACAAGCTAATGAGTTTGTGGTTGCAAGGACACCGGGCATAATTGCTTTTAATTGCAATCAGCAAATTATGCATACTTGTAGTTGTGGTTGGGTGTGGGAATGTTTTGAAAAATAGCCACGAAAATTCCAAAGCTCTAAGCTGCATTGTCGCATCTTTGAGACTTAATTAAACGCACTTAATCAGTTCATTTTTTCATTTTTGAAGTAATGTTTTTATAAACATACAACAAAGTTCATTAGCTGACTGTAAAACAAAAATTCATAAATACTTTATAAAATCAAAGAACTTAAGCGTATTAATTCCACTTTTAAAGTGTTGGGAAAACTTTGTAAAATTTATTTATCAAATCCTAGTTCCTGGATCTTAATAACGACATTCATTGCGATCTTATCGCGGACGTCTTTAATTAAAATTCCTTCAAATCAAATTAGCGAAAAGCAATTAGCTAATCAAGCCTTATGTACGGCTGCCTTTAAGCTGGGAGAACACTCAAATGCGAGGGCCAGCCAGCGGCGGAATTGGCCAACTTTTCGGCAAGTTGAACAATTGAAGCACCATAAAGTTTGCCGCCAAACAGTTTGCCACCCATTCGATTCACCCTTCGAGCGCTTAGAGTTTGAGTAATGGAACTTCAAAAACGCAGCCGCCGCAAAACATGAAACCTAAAGCCTCTTTTGTGTGTGCGTGTGTGTGAAAGCGTGGTGTAAGGGCAATTAATGGGAACAAGCAAAACCACAATAGGATTATCAGTTTTATGCAACAGCCAATAAAGAGCAATGACAGATCAAAAGGGCTTTTTTGTCGCAGTTTATACTGCCAAACAATAGACTTAAATGTTCTTAGGAATAATGTGAAAACTTGTTTTACTTAAACAGAAAAAAAACAGTAATTGGATTTCAACAATAAGCTACTACTGTGAGCTTTAATTAAGTTTAAACAAATTGTTATAAAACTAAATCGATTTTAAAAAATACCCTTTTTTCTTTGACCCACAACAAAATGACATCAGTTTTTTTAAATTACATTTTTTTTAAGTAGTTGATTAACATGGCCCTTACGATTATGGTTATAAATTGAAGAAAATTGAAATATTCTCTTTTCATTCACAGACTTGGCATTCGAATTGCGCCGTTCTTGGACTCATTAATCGCCTTTTGATTTTTTTCGCTCACTTGTAATTGGCATCCATTCATCATATTCAGCTTTAATTATTGGGCCGCTGCAACTGCCATTTCTGCATCTATCTTCATTTGCATCAACGGATTGAATCAGCCACAGATGCCCCTTAGGGTGTATACAAAAAGAGGCGTGGCAGAGCCCAAAAAAGTCCTTAATAATCTGAAGCTTAATCTGTAGTAATTGATTTATCGCATGGTGCCTCAACTGCAGACAATTAAATTACGTGGGCGAAAAAACGATGAATTTTGTAATTTTTATTTGGTCTTTTGTTTGTTTTGGGGTCGCGGGCCAAATCAATTGCATTTGTATTATTGTTTTAATGCACCAGCTAAAAATTTATGAAGGCAGGATAATGGTAGAACAAAGGTTAACAAAAAGTTATTCAAACATTTGCAGTAAAATCCGGAAAAGCCTCAAATAAGACCATTAAAAGTGTGCTGAAAAAATACGTAAAATCGATTTTATTTGTTTCCTGATTTCTGCATGTTAATTGTGTTATTTTTTGCGAAAATATTTTGATTATACCTGTCGATTGGTTTGTTTTGCCGCTCAGTTTTTACAGCATTTGCACTGGCTTAGTTGTTGTTTAAACAAAAATTGTTTTTCTTTCTTTGCGGTTTTGCGGATCTGACAGCTCCGGGGCATTGACATTTGCATGTGTGATTGTGGCTTGTTTACTCGCACTCGTAGTCGCACTCGCAATTGGTGTGTGTTGTGTGGGACACACACATAAACACACAAACAAAAACCTTCACACGTTTACAACTAAGTGCTTAGTTCATAAACGTTGACAATTAATTGAGCAAAATGCCAGCCATTCAACTAATTGGAAACGCTTAATGCGAAACCAAAGCCCAAATGGGCCGACCCAGCTAATGAAATTATTTGTGGCAATTATATGGCACCCAAGGGTGTGTTTTTGAGCACACACATTTACTTTTGCTGAGGGGTGTAGTGCAACTCTCTACTGGCTTACGAGTATTTATTTAATGATTTTTTCACCAAGGCTTCGTGGCAGCAGGACATCAGCTGTCCTGGCTTCATGTACTCCAGGGAGGGTACAACCCGATGTCCTGCACGGATAATGTGCTGGATGTACTCGTCTAAAAAATCTGGATTCAGGTAACGCCACTTGGGGCACTCTAATCTGTGGTGATGTTCCGACTGAAGACCCACTGGCGCTTTGCGGTTTTTGCATCTGAACTGGATCTTTAAGCGGCTCCAAAAACTTGTCGGTTATTGAAAATGAAAGACCCAGATTGATCAGCGATTGGATATCCGATATGTCCAGTATGGCCTCCACTTTTACCACCGCAAACTCTTTTCAACTTTGCCAGTTTGCTTGAAGGGCAAGCAATGCCAAAGAAATGTTTGTCTAAAATTCCAGAAATACATTACGAAATCCAAGAAGCCTGTTATTCATGTGTAAAATTACTTACAATTCGATGAATTCCTCTTCGCCATCGAATTTTATGCAGCTGGCTTCTCCTCAAGATAATCGCTAGTTTGCTTTTCCTCAGATATTTCTACGATTTGAATTTTGGCTGTGGATATGAGGACAAAGAAAATATATGTGTGTTTACACAAAGGTAAAATCATGGCGCGCTGATGTTTGGCACTCGATTTGTGGCATTAAAAGGATCATTTGCGGCTGGGAAAGGCCGCAAATAGACCACACCTAAACTACATTTAAGGATAGCTTGCTCGGATTTGGTAGTCTAATTCCTACCTGGGCAACTTTACGTTTTAAGTGGCTCCGGCTCAAGGGCTAAGCCCGGTGGATTTGCGAGTGGGCCTGTTTATCTATGCCCACACAGTTTGGAGTGCTCTTGGAACGTTTCGTGCCCCTTTCACCCCGGCTCATTTCGGAGCGCCGCAAATGCCAGTCATTACATGCAACGATTGCGAGTTGGCCAAGGTTTTATGTGCCAACAACAAACAGACAAGGCCCAGACTGACAGGGCGGAGAAAGGTCTAGGAAGGCGGTTAAGGGGAAACAGGAAAATTGAGCTTAAGTTGCAATTAAGCAATTGCCCGGCCGGTTGGTTGCTGATGCTGCTGCTCAGGATCCTTCTCGTGCTGTCCCAGCTAATAGCACAAGCTACTCAAGTGGCTGATAACTTGGCTTTTGAACCGAGCAATGGACGGCGACGGCCAAGTCCCAGCTGCAAATAATGCAAAATTGCAATGAAATGCGGCCAGCTGCATGGAGTGAACTTTGCTCTGGGAATGCCCCGCTCGTTCTTTTCTATTTATGTGCAGTTGCTTTCCAATCACCAGGCAGCTAACTTAATACAATATTTAAGCCGCAAACGTAGCACAATGTAAACCAAAGTAATCTCGAACTCAGCTCCGGCTGTGTAGCCTGCAACTTGCAGCTCGGTTTGGTTTGGCTTGGCTTGGCTTTCCTGTGGCAAGTGGCACGACTTGCGGCCAAAACAGGCAAGACTCGAGATGAGATGAGGCCAAAAGCTTGTGGCGAGTGCAAAGCAGAAATGGAGCAAAAACAATTCCTGCATTGAGGCAACTTCGCGTTTTTTAAGTGGAAAACTTTGGCCCTTACGTTTGGCCATGGGCATGCTGGTTGCAATGAAGCTTAAAGTGTGTCTTAAATACAGTTCAAGTGTGTACGGTGAATTCCTTAGAGACTGATAGATTGAATGATCTATGGAGGGGGAAATTGTGAATAATTATTACTCAACAGAAATCAAAATATTTGAAAATTAATGTATTTTTTACACCTCAGATTAAAAGTAATTTTATTTAATTTAATTTAAAAGATAATGGTTATTTTATAATTTAAATATCTTTTGCCTAAGCTTTATTGCGAGTGTATAATTGATCTACCCGAAAATCAATGAAAATGCACAACCACCAAGAAATCAGTTTGATGGATTTTAAGCTTTAATGCGCTGTCTGCGGGACCATAAAGTCGAGGGGATTGTCGACTGATGCTGTCGTCCAATGAATTTTAAATTACCAATAAACAATTGAAAGAGCAGCGAAAATATATACACGCGCACACACGCACACACGCACACACACACACGCACACGCATACAAATGCTAATCAGCGCTGCTTTATGATTTTCGGTATATTTGCGTTGCTCATACGCAGTGTGGGCCGCATCGCTAATCCCGGCACGAAGCATCAATAAGTCAAACACGTCAATGGCAAGCAATGCGAGTCCTGGGATTCCTCGCAATCCTGGGAGCAGGAGTCACGACAGTAAAACAACAACAACAACCATTCGCACAGAGCAGTGAGCAGTGAGCAGAGACAAAAGGCAACAATTTATTGTTGCTCAATGTCGCATTTATCATCACTTTATGCTACTTAATCGAACCTTCGTCCCCCAAACCCCATTCCCGCGCCCGATCCTTTAAGCTCGATTTCCGCCGTCGAAGATGATTTCAATGTTTACTCTCGTTTTCGTCTCGTCCTGGGCTTTGTTTGCTTATTGTTTTTCGACACACATCCGCGCACACAGCCGAGCACTTTGCAGCGTCTTTTTATGGTTTATGGCGCCATTGAATTTTTCGTTTGCTTTCTTATTAAATTATAATTTATATGTGTAGTCGCATCAGCCAGCGCCAAGGGCAGGGCACTTTGTCAATTGTTTAATAGAAAACAAAGGAGATACGACTCGCAAAATGGCTCCTGAAAACGAAACTTTTTGGGACAGGACACTTTGCTTTGTTATTTATACATGCGCACGGCGTACTCAATTACGACTTCGAATGGCAAACAACTTTCGGGTTTTCTATGGTGTGTGAGTTTGTTTGTTTGCAGGTCAGAGCGTGATGAAAAGTGCGATAGTGATATATTAAAGATGGCAGATTTCGCATGTCTACTGAATCACTTACGATGGTGAAGAGATATCACTTCAAAAAGGCCAATAGTCTGGGTCAACTTTTACAAGTTTTTCAACCTTAAATTACCAAGAAAGCCATAAGCCACAAAGTAAAAATAATACCAATCAAACTGTTATGAAACTAACACGAATTTATAACGCACAAAAAAAAAGGGGAGGAGAAATCTCTCAGAAATTGATGTTACTTCAAATGTAATTGTATTCAACATTACGATAAAATGAACATGAGCGAAGTAAATTTGCAATTGAGAAGCAATTAAAAGTGAAAAGGGTTTAAAATCGCTATCAAATTTAAGTGACATTGACTATAGTGTGTATCATGTTTGACAATGTCGTCAATATGAAGCTGCTATTGTATTCTTCTTTTCTATTATGGGACATCATTCTTCCGCCAGGTGTGCAAAAAAGTTTTCAATGATAGATTCCCGTACGAAGCCAACGATTCGGTCGAAGTTATCTAAAAAGCAATTATAGCTAATGAACACTTGAATAATGCATTTGCAATAAAAGGCCAACGCTCCCTTCATCAGTATCGGAAATATTTCCAAAACTATTTCAACTTCATTAAATACCTGTGTATAACTAATGCACATGAAACGGCTGCAAATGGCAAAAATAAATGCCGTATTGTTCAACTTGCAAAAGTATTCGCATAATTAATAGCATGGCATTGTTGGTTATAGATTTATTTTGGTTTTTACATTTAACATATAGGTAATAATTAAAAAACATTGCACATTGCATTGAAATTCATTAAATTTGCATATAACTTTTAAGCATATTTGCAACATTTGGTGCATATGATTCATTGGTTTGATAGCTAAAAATTTGTATATCAAATCAAATTGCCGTTGGGTTTTAACTAATTTACGCCCCGACAATATTAGTGAACAAACAACCGCAGCATCAGCTGATGGATTTTCCATTTCACTGCACTATTGCCAACATCAATGCGAAAACTGCATACAAATATGTATTCAGAAAAAAAATATTATAGAAAACTCGACAGTTAAATATTTGGCAGTAGTTTTATAATGAATCAGTTACTAAATTACCAAGCGATAATTGGCGCTAACCAGAAAATGAACTAAAACAGTAAATATTTTTATTTCATCAGAATTAAAATTGTTACATTTATCTCTATCAAAACAACATACCTTTAATAGGTAGCATACAAACAATGTGGTAAAAAACACTTTTCTAATTCAATTTCTCGACTGAAATTATTTGTTTTATAAATATTTTAATTAACTGTCAATTGCTTTAACATCCGAATGAGTTCGGCCAAAAACATTTTGGCCATAACAGCTGCTGCTGGCGCGCAGCAACTTTTATACTTTTATTTTAATTAAATCCACGTCGGTGGCGGCGGTTAACCCACAAAAAGATAAGCCCCAAGCTGGCGCTGACATTAATCATTTTACCTTTCAAATGCATTCTCATTAGGCGACCGCCAAATTGAAACTTTAGTCGATGCTAAGGGGAATCGGGACTCTGAGTTTCCCCCGGGGCTGCGGCTCATTAATAACCGACAAGACGGCATAATTCTTTGTCTTTGCCCGATATATATATATATATATATCATTTTATTTTTGCTTACCTTTCCGTCGCTTTGGGGGTTTCCATGGAAAATAAAGATGCCCAACAATGACAGACTTGCTGAGGTTGAACTGTTTTTAGACGGGATGTACAGGAGATGTGCTAAGGCGGGAAAAATATTGACCAACTAACAACTGACTTATTTACGTTGAGGCACATCCCAACTTTTCCAATTAAATCTGGCCAAAGTTCGTTCACTCCATGTGCTGCGACTAGGAAACAAGCAAAGTTCTAATGAGTTTATTAATCAGCGATAAATTTGGCCAGCATATGCAAGGCAAACTTCGACCAAATCGCTTGGGTAAGTTGTCATAATTTCTAATCAGAAAAGTGTGCAAGGGAAGTCGAGCTTTTTTTTGTTGAAGTGGCTAAGAGACTAAATAAGCATCTGCCTCAAGGCCAAGAACGAATTGAGTGTCTGTAAGCCAGCCATCTCCCAAAAAAAAAGGGATAGCATATCCGGCTAATTAATGTGCAAAGTGTCAATTTATCAATCAGCCCGCCGATCAATCCTGTCAGCCAGCTCGATTCAAAACCCAATGCCAGTTAGATCCCAATCCCAGCACATTTCCCTTTTCGGCCATGAGTGTATTGACAGGATAAACTCAACAAGCTGTCAGAGCAGGCCAAGGCAAACAAAATAGCTGGCGACAAAGGCTCAATGGGCGACGGACGGATTGGCCAACATAAGCCCACCGGATGTGGTTATGGGATGGGTCTCACAAAAAGAAATAAGAAAATTACATCAAACGCCAGCGGAAAACGTCAGCCAGAGAACTCATTTAATCAGTCGTTTCCCAGGCAACCCTCCCACATAGTAGGGAGTGCCGAGTTCGGGGCAAAAGGGCAAGTGCCAGCTAATTATTATGACAAATATCAAACATCCGGTCGATTGAGGGCGCGGCTAATTCTGTGTCAAAGGCTCAAGTGCTTAACGAAATTAGCAGTTAAAATAAGCCAAAAATAACAAAAGAGAATGGTATTCAAATTACAAAAAACTATAAAGGCTTCGATAGAGAGTAAAGGTATATTAGTGTTTCATTAAAGCTAAGGAATAGTTTCATATTTGTATATTTTGTTCTCTACTTACTTCCAAAATTTGGTTACAGTTGCAAAAAAACATTTCAAGCCCTAGTATCTTCAGATGATGAATTTCTTCGAGCAGATCTCACGTTTGTATTATCTGGCTTTTCCATTGTTGTATTGGCCAGGAAAATCTTGGCCAAGCACACACATCCCAGAAGCATGAAGTTAACAGCATGGGTCAGCAATGCCTGATCCAGAAACTTGCGTATCGTAGGCCAAGTTCCCCGATTTCGCACAAAGTAATACATGTACAGGCCCATGGCGTCGCTGATGAGGAAAACGCATATCAAAATCGCTCTGGTGTTTTTCCGGAAAAATGGAACCATGGCATACAGGGCCGAGATAATGATGAGGGAAGGAAGTAAAATCTTTAGAATCAGCAGACTGCCCGACAAGTACAGAGAAAAGTGGGGATAAAACAGTCGTGCGGTTGTCGACTTGAACAAAAAGGTGGACAGCCAGTGTCCAGCCAGGGAAAAGGCTACATAGAAATAAAGGAGAATCATAAATGCATAGCGGTAGAATCGTTTCAGGCTCTTCAGAGAATCGTGCTCCTCCTCCAGATCTTCAACTTCTTTGCTTCGCCTTGAGTCCTCATACACCTGGAGGCCCAATACAAATTCGGTTATCACGATTTGCACGTTTAATGAGCCCCAAGAAGTGGAAAGCAGAGTGATAATAGTGACCATGTTGATGGTAATAAGTTCCAATTTTCTTCTGGCCATCGAAGTGGTTCTTTCAAAGTACCGGATCGAGAGAAATGCGAAGAGCAGAAACGACCAGGTTGCGGCATAGATATAAACAGACACCTTCTCCTTCACCTCGTATTGATAAACTCCAATGGCTCCGGCTATCAGAGCCATCGAATTGACTGCCCAGACCCGGGGATCATGTCTATGTCCCAAGATCAAAGGACGGAAAATAGCCAACAGCATGCTAATATACAGGACGTAGTAGTTTTTTAGGGGAAGTCTCTTAAGTAAGCTTTTAAAGTTCAGTAAGAACAGCATTCCACTTAGAAGTGAGACCAGGGTCAGCCATATAAAAAATTTCAACGAGCGCCTCAGGAAAGCCCTTCGATTGTTCAGGAGCACAGAGACAGCATATAGCAGCCAGAGGTGTCGATAAACGAAAGTCATCAGTATCAGAAGACAAGCGGGCAGCAAAATGCAGGTCAAGTGCCATATTAGTGTTAGGGTCATAGTCCAGCCCCTTTTTGCAGGTCGTTCTGCCTGAGCCATTATTAGCATGCCAACCGGTAAAAGTAGATAAAAAGAGGTAATATGCGGCACATTTTGCAGCCGCAACAAAATTAGAAATAAAATTCCCAAGAGCACTAATATCAGGGTTGAGAAAGTAGCAAAACCCTTTCTCTCCTCTTTCTCCTCTTTGCATAATCGACTTAGTTGAAGAATAAGACAGTAGAACCAAATGAGGTAGGATAAAGTAGTGGCCACCATCAAGGGCAGAAAATAGTAGTTATGGTAGTACGCCAAGCATTTCTGAGCTGACTTTCCGAATTTCTGGCAAGTCTCCATTGCCTCTTTGATATTTCCTTGTGCTTTCAGGGCAATCAACTTACTTGCATACTGATTAATCTGTTCCAAGTCCAGATCCATGAACTGGGGTAGCCACTTGTAGAAAATGGCGCTCTCAAATCGTTGAATAAGAACTTCAGCTTGGCACATTAATTGCAGGACGTTTAGGTGCAAGGCCATAACTTCGTATTCGGCGCTGACATTTAGGTAGCCCATTGGCATAAGGGCTAGATTGTTCATTGGCGGTGGAAGACCAATCAAAGCCGACATTAGCGGCGCCAGTTGAGTCTGATCCAGCTCGGAAATGTTGGCTTTGCTAGGGAAATTGGCTTCGGAATCCGTTTGTTCCCGACTCACACCAGCACCCCACATAAACAAAGGCGTTTCAACTTCAAGTGTGGATCCACCGCCATGGATTCCTGAAAAATAGCACTGAGTTAGTAGAAACACCAAAAATTGCACTCATTAAAATATTTTAAGCCTACAAAATAAATTTTAGCAAACTAAATGGAATAACCTAAAATGACTAAATTAAAGGCCTCAAACAAATCAAATTTGTATGGATCATCTTACAATAATGTATAACTAATAGCTTATATAAAACTGTTCACAATACTGCTTTGAATTTATGATGCTTTAAATACCAGAGTTGTAAGTACCCACCCTCGTCACTCATGCCATGATCGGATGTCATCAGATAGGCCGTTCGGCTGTCATTAAAGACCCGCTCGAAGAGTTCATAGGTCGTGCGAATTCCCCGCTGTGTGTACTGAAGCTTCTTGTTAAACTTTTTGCTGAGGGGCTTGAACCGATGGGCAGCTATGTCCATGTCGCCCAAGTAGACGAAAAACACCACCGACTTGAGGTGGCGAAATTCCCGAACATTATCGCCGTTCTTGAAGAACTTTTGAACCTTTTCGAAAGTCCACTTGTCACATGTGAGCTTTTCCGGCAATTCCCTCTCCATGTAGGACTCGAAACGCAACGGGGCACCTCCGTTCGGCAGGTTTACGAAGAAATTCACCACGTTTCTATGGGCCCAGCCAATGGTATTTCTGCTGCGATTGAAGACGGTGTCGAATTTGCTGGGGTTGTAGCGAAAGTTGACCAACGCCGCTGCCGGATCCTCGTCGAAGCCACCGAAAATGGCAATGTGTCCAGGGCGCGTCATTGTGGGAGCACAGGTGCGGGATATTCCAATTCGCCCCTGCTTTCGGAATATATCCCTGAGGTCCGGAACATCGCTGCCATTATTGGCGAGAAAGGTAGCTGCTCTTAGGCCATCGGTCAGAAATACCACCAATCGATCCGCTGGCGGTTCAAATCCCCAATCCCGCAAAGTCTTTTGCGGCACGAGGTTCGGCAGCAAAGTTGGTTGGAAATAAGTGCTCAGAATGGATCCCATCAACAAGAGGTGCACGACAAGGGCCTGCACTTTCCACATTTTTGCACGAATAAATACAAGAATAAAATAAAATTGGGAATAATACAATAAATAAAATAGAGTGTGACGTATTACTGAATAAACTATTGTTAATCAATCATTTTTTAACACTGAACTATAAGGGGTCCTCGAATTCGTTCTTGTTTAACTTAAAAGCTTTCCATCTAAATTAAAGAAGGAGACTAGTTTTTCAAGAATAATAATATTTTAATTTTCTATGCACCAATCAAGAGGAACCATTTAAGATTTATTTTTCACAATTTTATTGTATGAAACTGAAAATTGTCTCTAAAGAAGTAAATCAAGTTCAGAAATATGGTTGTGCTTAACCTTTAATGGTTTGGTTATATAAATCATACCCAAAATGCAAAAATAATTTCATCCTCAAATTGTTTTACATTAAATGAGCAGAACTGTTGTCGTCGACTCGTGATGTTCTTGTTGTCTTTTCGCCTTACTATCTGGGTCTGTTAGGACGCTTTTTATGGATGCCATAACTCTGCGGCCTTGTCAAGCAATTTCAATTTGCCGCTTGATTTGTGAGCTGGCGCCTGGGCGCGTTGCCTTGGGCGCCAAATGCTGCACGTTGCTGCCTTGATCTACGCGCCTGCAATTTAAATGAGCTGCAAATTGCTGCAGTGCCGGCCTCCGCGAATCTGGCCAATTTAAGTCTTTAAGGCTTTTGTCAATCTGCGAGGCCGCGGGAAAATTAATTGCCTCACATAAATTGTGTCTGCCGTATTTTGTTTGTCATCCCTTTTTGGCGCTTGACTAATTCGCGGAGCTGCTGGCAGACAATTCAGGTGCTTCAAGATGTTCTTTTAATGCTCAGACACAGACACAGTCGCGCATTTGGCTTAAAAGCTAGTTTAACAAAATGTCGGGTTAAAGTCGAGCCATTTGTCAGGCCAATCTGAGTTGTCCTCCGACAGTTGTAAGCAAGCCAACAAATAGCTGGCCGGATGACTGAATGGCCGGCTAACGGATTCGTCTGGCAATTAAAGGCCTGTTTTGCGTCTGGCAATGGGCTAATTTAACAGAGAACAAGAGTTAGGCGTTATATGGCCAACATTCGCGTGTTTGAAGTGATTGAGAAACGCTATTGAGTAATTGGGCAGAGCGGCAGCTTCGCTTATTGCAGAGAAGGCCTTAACAAAATAGCAGACTCTTCGGGCCATGGCACAAAGCGCAGGCGCTCTCTTAGCCAACAGCTCGTGCAATTGCTAGCCATCGGTTTTGGGTCAGCAACATGTTGGCCCGGCCGGCCGACATCCAAAGTGGGTTATTGTGGCCATCGAAAAGTGTAGGTAAGTGGGTCGGGTTCTGCTCGGCATGCTGGCCGCAAATTAAACAAATTGTGGCACTGCGTTTGGCAACATTTGTTGCCACACTGACCGGCAGTTGGAGCAGCAGCATCATCACCAGGAAGCGAATAAAATGCCAAATGTTTGCGGCTGGGGCTGTTGAACCCGACCGGCTTTCGACTGCAAAATTTTGGATAGGTCTTGACCAAGACAAGTGCTTTCCACACTTCAACTGGATTTTGAGTAGGCAGCCATAGAATTGAAAACTTTTCCAGATAAACATTGAACAAATATATTAGTTCTTAAGTATTCATGCGTTTAACCCCTACTGGTGATATTACATTGTACAAACAAAAAAATAAATAAAAACAGAAAAAGTTTTATGATGTTTTTATATTTTTTAATTATTTATGAAGTCAGAATATGTGACGCAACAATCTTACAATGCTTATTTGTAAACGTGTACTTCTTAATTTATGAAAAAGTAAAAATAGTTATATTGAAATTTTCGGATAGTGTTTAGGATTTAAGAGCTAATTATTATTTAATTATAATTAAAACAAATTCTCTTAATACGCAAAAATATAATTACTGTCTAAGCTTTAGAAATATTTCGAAAATTAGCAAACAAATATTTAGACTTAAAAATCCAAGCTAAAATTTTGTTTGCGTCTGCCTGACTTATACCCATTAGCACTTGAACATTTTGGAAAAATTGATAATTTTTTGGCCCAGTACTTCAAAAGCAATATCAAGCAAATCAATTACGTCAGCTAGCTCTCCTCGCAAATTCCTAACATATGCGAGCGTGTGAAGAGCTAAACCCATTTAAATTCAGCTGCGTTTTGTGTTGACAAAACTTATCAACAATTCAATTTCAATAAAAACTCGCGAGTTGGCTCGGTTCGCATATTGTTCGATGCATTTTTTAACACGAAAGATTAGGGTCTGTGTGGGCATGTGCGTGTCCGTGGAGGGATCGTACAGCTTGCAACATATTCGATATTCTGACAACTCCCCCTGAGTTACTACGCCCCTGAGCTTCTGAGTGTGAGCGTGTGTGTGTGTGAGTGTGTGCTGAATTTTGGCATTTGAATTGTCACATCTGGTTCATGGCTTTGAACTCATCCATCAAATGCAGCCCGGCTGCCTCCATGGCTATGGCTCCAAATATCCCCGCTCATCCTGTCATCGTCCTGCCAATGCAATCATTTTTATTGTGTGTGCGCCAGCGTGTGGAGGGTCGTTGTGTGTACTGGTGTATCTGTGAAATAGCGCGCATAACCACAGCGACAAAACCAATACACGGCCAGCGGCAAACCTCCATTTTTTCTTATTCCCCCACACTTGCATCTGCCTAACGACAGTGTGTGGAGTATTTGTGTGCGTTTGTGGTGCACTTGTGTGTGTGCCTCGCTGGCAGCGTGTGCGTGCAGGCAACCGACTATTGAAAGGCAAGCACAATGCGAACATAATTTACGAGTCGGACTAAAATTCAGCTTTTTAATAGCTGGCCTTTTGTCATGCAACCACATTGCACTCGACGGCTGCCTCTTTCTTGTAATTCGGTGAGCAATCACACCAAATTAGTTATTTATAGCAAAAATAGAAATCAGAAGAAAACTTTTCGAAAAGCCACCCCCATAAGACTGGTTTTGTGGAAATAATACAGAGCCAACCGTTAAAAAAAAAGTATTGCCTACTTTTTAGCAGAGCAATATTTACGTAAGTCTAAAAAACAAATTTAATATAAATATTTTTTGGTAAGAGCCTTTATAGATATATTAATAAATATTTAATACATGTATTAATAAATATATATACAAATCTTTTTATAGCTTTTTACAAAAACAATTTTGTTGCAATACTAACGTGCCTTAAAAAGGTTTATATACTTCAAGTCCCTTGCAATTAAAAACAAGTTAGAACCAAGTCAGTCACAAAAGCAAAATAAATAGATAAAGTAAATAAATACTTTTGAAAATCACTTTTTTTTACTCACAAATCCGTCTAGACCTGCATCCAACAAACATCTTGTGTGTGCTTTTGCTCATGTGCATCGATTTAGCCATTATTCTAACAAGCTCTTAACAATATAAAGACGAGACCGGAATCCTTTACATAACAGTTGTCCAGGTCCAAAGTCTCCTTATAGTCAGCAGAAGCTTACTTGACACTCGGCCTCTCAAGTAGGTCAACAATTCGATGATTTTTCGGGAACAAAGCCAGGACTGGCTTTAAGGTTTAAGTCCGGCAAAGGCCAACGGCAGCTGCAATGCAAACTCAAATGGTGTGAGGTCAGTCGGTCTGTTTTTCAATAAAGGCAGATTTATGCATTGTGCTATGCTGAATTAAATACTCTTTTGTTGCACTCAGAGGGCTTTGCAAAATGCTAAACAAAAATTTAGCTGCACTCAATTGGATTTAATTGGTGTGTGTCGCAACCGAAATAGCACCAAAATAGTGGCGTTACGCAAATTCGTTTACATAAGCGAGTTTAAAATTGAATGAAATATTTTTGTCCGATTTATGAACTCTTTAAATTGTAATTTATTATTTACAAGTGTTTGTTTGCATTTTATTAATTACCCCAGGTCATATATCTACGCTTTGTGTGGGTTTAACGAACCAAATATCGTTTGGTTGAAAAATCGATTTTGGCAGCAAACAAGCCGTGGCGGGCAGAGCCATAAGGCACAGCTTCCTTTTTGGCCTGTCAGTGGCATGTGCGGAGACACGCCCCCTCCGGCTCCACCGGCCCACCGCCCCTATGCCATCCCTACGGCCGTATGGCATGTGCAAAAGTAAAAACGAAGTTGGGCAAAACTTTTTAATATGCTTGCGAAATTTTATCAAAACTACAAAATTGCAGCAAAGTGCCAAGTGCCTGGGAACTGGGATCTGCACCACCGTCAACGAAAACCTAGGCGCTGCACGCAAAATAAATTTTGAAACAATTGAACTTTCGTTCATAGAAAATTGGATATTGAAACTATGTCATCGAAAAATGTTTATTCGTCCCAAAAAAATTGGTTTACAATGTATATTTTCATTAAAAACAAAACAAAAGTTAATTTAACACAGAGAAATACTACAAAAACAGCAAGCAAATTAATTAAGGTGATTTAATTAAGGCGATTAATACAATTTTTTATTCACAAGACCGCTTACAAAATGTATAACATAGAAAATGTGTTAATCAAACTTTATAAAAATAACATATGTTAAAAAATAAAAAACACGTTAATAATAACTTTTTTTAACACCTCAACCGTGAGGCCTAGCAGTTTTTTATATTGTTACTACTAAATGGTAGACGCAATTCCAAAAAAGTCAAAAATAAATTTCAAATGAAATATTACTATTATGCCAACTATTCGACTTAAAAAAAAACTATTTTATATGTAATATTAACACTTAAAACATAAAATTTTTATAAACTGTGTCTTGCATTCAAAGAAAGTAGATAAATAAATAATAAAATGATTATAGATGTTAATACCTGACATAAAGGTCACAAATGATAAAATATTTATTTTGCGTGTTGCTGCTGCTTTTGGCTATGGCAGTGGCAATGGCGATGGCGATGGCAAAGGACGCAGAGGCAGTCGAGCTCGTGGAGTTGGCCAAACAAAACACAGTCAAGCGAAACCTTCAACTCAATTTGGCAATCGCATTTCTTGCTCTACTTCCGCCTATTCAACTTGACTCGATTTGCGTGCCGGCGACCGTTAGTTCGCCCCCCGTTTACATGTGTGTGAGTGTGTGTGTGC